CTTACCGAGGTGCAACCGTTCATTAAGTAAGTTCTCAACGAACTTATTTCAATATGCCATCACTATTCTGCATCCAACCCCATTGATTCTCGTTCGGACAGGGAATTTGTTCGTGAATTCTGGCATCAATCAAGGGATCCTACCTCGCATGAACAAGACACCCTTGTTTCGCGGGGTGCGGGAGCGGGGAGGCCTGATTTCATTTCTTGGTTCAAACAAAAGGTAATGTCCAATTTAGCTCATACGTTCGATCGTCCAAGGTGATCGTACGTTTGATTAATATAACGATCTTTCATTATTCACCTTGCAGGCCCAAACCGATTCGTCCATGAGCGACGAGTTGAAACAGGTTGCAAATGGCTGTGATGTTAGGGTGAAGTCATTTACCGGCGATGACGTGAACGGATATCGCTTCCACACAACAAGTTACGAGCAGATTCGGCCTAAACGAAAAACCACAAATAGCGGAGTTTGTACGCCCGGCACTGATGGCCTCGACTATCATGGTAGAGTTGAGGAAATCTATGAACTCTCATTTCATGGAGACAAACCTCTTAAACCTGTCATGTTCAAATGCCACTGGTTTAATCCTCGATCAACGAGATGAATCGCTCATCTTGGGCTAGTGGAGATTCGAGAAGATTCCATCTATCCTGGAAAAGATGTCTACATTGTGGCTCAACAGGCCGTGCAGGTGTATTATACTCGATACGCCAACCAAGACAAAGAGGATCTTAAGGGTTGGGCTATTGTGCACCAGGTATCTCCACATGGTAAACTACCTACTCCAAACGATGATGATTACAACTTCAACGCAAACACATATGATGGTCAGTTCTATCAAGAAGATGGGCTACCAGGCACGTTTGAGATAGTCTTACCCGAAGCAATCGAAATGGAAGTAGACAACGAAACGGTTGATGACGAGGTCGATGGAGATGTGGTGGTAAATGCCAAGGACATAGCAATGCTTGAGCGATTACTTCTAGGCAATGACGACGATGATAACATAGAACCTTCGGATAGTGTTGCCCATTTGGACAATTTTGACAGTGATGATGAGACCTATGATCCCAATCATGAAGATTATTCCTAATACATGTAATACTATGGTTTTTTAATTTGTGTTTTGTTTATATATTTTGAATCTATTTCTAATATATGTACTAATTAGTCTTGTTCATTCTTTGTGATTGCAGGTGATTGGACAAAGATGGCGAGCAGACGTCCACGCCGTGACACGCCCTCGGTTTACGGGAGAGACCGCCCTATCCTTCGAGGTGAGGGGTCGTCGTCCGGGAGTAGCGTCCAGGAGGTGGTGAGAGAGGAGGACCAGGCAGCCGCCCGCAGGAGGCAGCGGTCTCCTCCTCGACACGTGACGGGTGTCTTTGGAGGAGGACGTGGCGGCCACGACCTCGTCCTCGTCGGAGGACGAGAGGGGTCAGCAGACGGGCGAGGGAGACAAGGCGCTTGAGGGTGAGGGAGGCGAGGCGCTCGAGGGCGAGGGAGGCGAGGCGCTCGAGGGCGAGGGAGAGGGTACCGCTACCCGAACTCTCTATGAGCGAGGTCCCGCGAGCCTCCCTCCGCTTCCGCTTCCTCACAACCGCTCAGTGATTCGGCCTATGGCAAAGAGGTAAGTAACTATGGATGTTATCACAACTACTTCATAAGATATGTTGGAAATCTTAAGAGAAACTGATAAATTTTCTTAATCACTTGTGCAGGGGGCTCTGTTGGTTTTGTCGGGTACTCCAAAGACGCACTCCCCACGAGCATCCTTGGTGTTTTGTGTAGGAAATGGTACCCGGCATTGTGCAACTGTCCAAGAGCCGGTGGTGCGGGAGCCGCCTCCAACTAGGACAGTACGCTACCGGTCACGGATGACACTTACCGCAACAAGCGGGAGAGCGAGTATTAGCGGAGTTTTGGGTAAGTCTCTCTCGCACAACATTGCTTAATACATCGCATTCATTGGTTAAATATTTTATCGAAATAATGAATGGATACATCGGTTTTGTATGAAGAAATATTTCAAGGCCAAAGAAGGACTTGAGGCCCAGGCGGATCGATCGAGGCGGTGCCGTAGCTTGTAGGAAGTACGTCACCGAGATGCATCACCATGGGCGTCCAGGCCCACATAGACTACTACTGTGTCGGTGCTTAGCGGTCCCCTCCCAAGCCTCAAGCAAGACAAATTACGACCCGGGACCAGATTACCTTGAGGTAGGCGAATAACATTCATAATGATTCATTTTGATATTAAGTAGGTTCAATTTCATCTTCTTATATGTCAAATACTCGATGACTTGTAGGTGATTCCCTGGTGGTGCCGATCGTATCCCGAGTGCTGGGCCATGATCGTGGACAAGTGGTTATCACAGGACTTTGTTGACACGCACGAGAGGCAGCGGGAACAGCGTCTGATGAGGCAAGGTCCAACTCACCATCAAGGCAGTCGTAGCCTCCCCGGATACAAACAAGCATACGTAAGTGATTTCTTTCATTTATTTTGACGCTCAATTCTGCTTGATTTCTCACCATCTTCCCGTCTTTCTCGCAGGAGGCTACGCACCCGGGCGAGGAGGTCTCGGAGTTCTCTGCGTGGGCTATGTCCCACATGGGCAGGGCATCGCCCTCTGTCTCCTTCGACCCGGCTGCCCCGCCCCAGGTGTACTCCGACCCGAACGTGTACACTAAAGTCCAAGAGTACACGTCAACGGTAAGGCAGATCTATGGGGAAGATTACAATGTGCACACTGAGCCCATTGATGCAGAGGCGATCATGAGGCTCGGAGGAGGCAAAAAGCACGGGCGGTTGTGGATTGCAGACGACGCCATCGACTCCACCATTGTTCCCTCCCTCGACGCTATCCGAGCACGAAGCATGAGCTCCAGCCCGCCCATACGTTCACGGCCTTCTCCAGCACTGCAGCAGGTCCAAGCACTCCAGGTAATTCCTGTTTTACTCATCGTACATAGATATTTACACACCTAAATTAGATTTGCATTACTGATACATTAGAGTGAAATAATGCAGGCCGAGCTACAAGAAACAAAAAGGCAAAGTCAAGAGCAGAACGTGGAGCTGACCGCACAGCTGCAGGCCCAGAAGGTCGCGTTCGAGGCCGCGCAGAAGCAGATGGCGGAGATGATGGTGATCATGCAAAGTCTTGGGCAAGCATCGGGTGTACCTATGCAGTTTTCAGCTCCTCCACCTCCTACTCCTGCAGCTACTCCTGTAAGTATGAAAGTTCACTTTTCGCTTGTGCTTTGCATGTATGTCGGCCTTCGTGCCGTTGTGGATGTCGGCGTTCGTGCCGTTGTGGATTTCGGCGTTCGTGCCGTCGTTTCTTGCAGGTTTTGGAAATCTCCCCGTGCAGAGGAGGTGTTGCCGAAATTTTCAATTGAGTCTAATCTTTTTTGTATTCCTACAATACTAGATGCAATCTCTAAGTTCCAAAACTGTTTTCCCGGATTACTCACACATGCAATCTCTGCTTCTTTGTGCAGCTTCCGTCCACGGGTTCCAATCAACCCGCTAGTGCGTCACCGGGTGATTCTGTTTTTCCTTCACCATCGTCTCATAGGCTAGTTTGATGAGGACTCGTGCTATGTGATGTGGTTGGACTTTAGCGTGATTTGTGATTTATGGTTGTGACTTATGCTTGAATTTCATTAACTTGTCGTAATAAACATGTGAATGATGATGAACATGTGACTTGTCGTTGTAATATATTATGATTTATGGTTCACAATTATGGTTGTGATATATTGTGAGAAAATGGGTTCTGTGTGATATATATATGTATATATATGAAATGCTTGTGACGATGGAATGCAAAAAACAAAAAAAAAATTTAAATTTCTGCTTCTTTGCCGAGGGCAATGACCAAAGCCCTCGGCAAACAAGGGTCCTTTGCCGAGGCAAAATAAGGCAAAGATTTTTTGAAAAAATCTCGACAAGGGCAGGGCGAGGAGGCCCTCGGCAAAGGTTTTAAAAAAAAAAAAAAACCATTTCTTTGCCGAGGGCGGCCCTCGGCAAAAAAAAAATTAGGCCGAGAGGAGGCCCTTTGTTTTAAAAAAAAAAAAAAATTATTTGTTTACTTTCCGAGGGCGGCCCTCGGCAAAGAATTTTTAAAAAATCCTAAAAATTTCTTTGCCGAGGGCCAGGGAGGAGGCCCTCAGCAAAGGTTTTTTTAAAAAAAATAAAAAAATTTATTTGCCGAGGGTCGGCCCTCGGCAAACAAATTCAAAAAAAACCATTTCTTTACCGAGGGTGGGCCCTCGACAAAGAAACCGCCAACGGCGCCGGTGCCTGACGGCCTCTTTTCTTTGCCGAGGGCTGTCCTGACCCTCGGCAAGGGCTTTGCCGAGTGCCCGATAAAGGGCCCTCGGCAAAGACCGACAAAGCCTTTGCCGAGGGCAGCCTCGACAAAGCCTTTGCCGAGGGTTTCTGGGCCTTTGCCGAGGGCTAGAGGCCCGGCCCTCGGCAAAGCATGCGCCTCCAGTAGTAGACCTTGTAGTTCCCGGCGAACCCACTGTACACGACGAAGTTGAGCGTGCACAGCGCCGCCATGGTCCAGAAGAAATAGTCGAGGTGGCCCTCGTTGAGGTTGTCCGAGATCCGGTGGCGGCCGGCCGCGGGTGGCGTTAGAGCGCGTCCACGATGGCGTAGATGAGCGAGCTCATGTAGCTCCCAATAGCGACGGTGAACAGCGCGAAGGACGTGCACATGCTCTTCATCGTCTCCGGCGCCTCGTTGTAGAAGAATTCCAATGCGCGCGATGTAGCGAGAACACCTCACCGCCGCCAAAGACGGCCATCTGCGGCATCGCCACGCGATCTTTGATGGACTTCCGCCGCGGCCAGCGGCGTTGAGGCGCCTCATCTCCACCAGCGCCGCCCCGCCATCGCGCGCGCCGCCATGAGTAGCCTCCGGCGCCCATCCGCTGCGCATTGCGGCGGCTCGCCGCCGCGAGAGATAGCCCGCCGCCGCACGATCACGGCGCCGTGGAGATGAGCACCCACGCCAGACGCACAAAGACCTCGAAGAGACACCATGGACACGGCCGGGGCGGTGGCGACATCACCCGCATGTCCATCACGGCCGCCTCGCCGCCTGAAACGTGGTGTTCAACATACAGACGCCGCCGACAAAGACGATGTTTGGTCGCCCATATCGGGAGCAGGCGCAGCAGGATCTTGAGATCCTCCACCTGCGTCACCGTGCAGAGCCTCCACGACGATGATCCCGCCGCCGCCGCGTCGTTCGTCACCTCCTCCAGGTCTGACTCCGCGACCACCGCCGCCTTGTCAAGGAACCCGAACTCGTCGGTGTGCGCGATCTTGGGCTGCTCGATCTTGTCGTGGACCTCGTAGAGGAGGCCGGCGTCGGTGGGGACGCGCACGCTGACCTTCCTGAACGCGGCGACCACGACCTGGCCCAGGCTCTTGAGCGGCGTGTCGGTGGGCATCCGGCGCTTGTACATGGGCGTGGCGAGCACGAAGCCGCCGAAGGCGAGCGCGATGCAGGCGATGGCGATGCATTTCTACCACTCAAAAAATGTAGTACTTCCGGTAAAGTTTTCCAGATGGGCCAAGCCCGCTGGGCAGACACGGGCACGGCCCAATAAAGCACGGCCCAAGCAAGGCCCGGCCCGCATGGCCCCGTTCCGTGCACGCACGGCGCACCGCGCGCCGCGCGTGCAGGCCTTGAGTTTGGCCCATGGCCAAGACGGCACGGCACGGCGAAGCGGCTCGGCCCGGCATCGGCCGACGGCTGACCGATTTAACGCCACCGTTGGATCAGGAACCCTAAATGATTCTAACCGTTGGATCCGACCGTTGGAACGCGGTGTATATAAGCCGCGCCGGCCTCACTCCCCTCTCCCACCCGAAAGGCGAAAGGCCAAAACCCTACTTCATTTCCCACTCCCCCGCGCCGGTCTCCTCGCTTGCGCTCCGTCAGCCGTGGCGAACGGCGACTCCCAGGGGCGAGGGCGACGGCGGCTCGCCGTCGTCCCCTCCTCTACGTCTCGCCCTCCGATGGCTCCTGAGCCGGAGCTACGAAGATCCAGGTAGGATACCCACCTCTACTTCTTCTCGCCATCCCGCAGCTCCCCGTTGATCTTGCTTCTTCGTCTTAAGTTCTTCTCTAACTTGTGTGTTTTGTTCTACAGATCCGCTGATCCGCTGCTGCTCGGAGGAGTCGGAGCTCCTTCTACGTCGCCGGCGACTAGGAGGTAAGAAACCCTAACCCTAGATCTGGTCTCACTTCTTCTTCTTCTCCGTTCCCGATCTAACTTCTTCTTCTTCTCTTTTGTGTTTTGGCAGCCGTTTGAGGCCAGCGCCAGTGAGAATGCCGGTCGTGGCCCGGCCCCCCGCTGTCTCTGAAGACACGGTGGAGGCTAGTGCCACGGCCATGGAAGATGAAGACAAAGATGAGAGGCTACGGAGCCTCCCTGGTGATGACGAAGACGACGACATGGGCGAAGACGACCTAGAAGAGCTCTTCGGCCGTGGAGCTCGAGCTGGCGCAGAGGGGGACCCCATCGACCTTGATGCTGCAGAAGGGGGTGGTAGAGAAGAAGACGGTGAGAACAACGATGATGACAAGGTATCACGCCCATCTACCTCTGATGTCTGGAACGACTTCAAGAAGCTCTTCAAAATCGGCCCCAAAGGTAAGAAAATCAGGCATGGCGCTGTCTGCATCCATTGCCACAAGGAATACTCCGGTAGATCTAGTGGTGGCACTGGACATCTTCGTCGTCACCGTGCTAAATGTGCTAAGAGGCTTGAGAAAACTAGGAACTATACTCAGTCTCAAATCTCTTTTAATCCTGATGGTTCTATGCGTGCTCGTACTGAATTGTGTCGATTGCTTGCTAGGGTAGATGTTCCTATCAACTTTGGTGAATCTAATACTTTTGAGGAGTACATAAAAAATGCTCATAATCCTAAGTTTGTTGCTGTCTCTAGACAAACCACCACTAGAGACTTGACCAAAATGTTTGATGAAAGAAAGGTTAAGCTTGTTGAACGACTTGCTTCTGATTCTATTAACTGTGTTTGCCTTACCTCCGATATATGGTCTGGCAATGCCAAAGAGGATTATCTTAGTGTTGTTGCTCATTACATAAATCCTGATTGGCAACTAGAGAAGAGGGTGCTTGGTCTTGTGCTTATTGATTGTTCCCATAATGGACAGAATATTGCTGATAGAGTTGCATCTGTACTTGGTGAATATGGTGTGCTTGAAAAAGTGTTTGCTGTTACTTTAGACAATGCTTCATCTAATGTTTCTGCCATGCGTATGCTTAGACCTATTTTGTCTAAATATCTTGGTCTTGAGGTTCCTGCAGAGGATCCAAGACATCCTGAATCTGCTGTTACTACTATGTTCTTGCATCAGCGTTGTGCATGTCATATAATCAACCTGATTGTTAAGGAGGCACTTGACTTTCTTAAACCTTTGATTGAAGTTTTTAGAACTGCAATATCATTTTTGAACTCATCTAACCAGAGAATTGCAGCATACAAAAACTACTGCATTGCAGCTGGTTTTAGGCCAAGAAAGTTTCAGTTGGACATGGATGTGAGGTGGAACTCTACATATCTCATGCTTAAGACTTTGTTTCCTCATAAAGATCCTTTCACTACTTTCATTCATGCCAACTATCCTAGAGTTGAAGATGGTGAGTTGCTTCTAACTGAGGAGCATTGGACTGTTGCTGAAAAAGTATTCAAGTTTCTTGAACTGTTCTATGATGCTACAGTTGCATTGTCTGGTGTTTACTATCCTACATCTCCACTTATGCTTCATTATCTTGTTAAAATTGCTATACACCTGAATAATTATGCTAATGACATTCACCTTAGAGATGTGATTCAACCTATGGTAGACAAATATAATAAGTATTGGAGGGACATACCTTTGCTCTATTCTTTTGCATTCATCTTGGACCCTAGAGCTAAAATGAAAGGTTTCTCAAAAGTGCTGAGAAAGTTGATGAACCTTACCAGTACAGATTACAGTGCTTACCAGGTTGGCACTAGAGCTAGACTAACAGATGTTTACAATAAGTATGAGGAGAAGTTTGGAGCTGTTAGGTTGAGGAGGACCGTCCCTCAAAACATGTCTGGTAAGAAAAGGTCTGCTTGGGATGAAATATATGATGATGATTCTAATTCTTCTGGTGGGGGTACATCTTCTACTTCTATGCTGCATTCTACTCTTAATCTGTCTAGAGATACATCTGCTACTGCTTTGCTGCATGCTGCTACTTCTACAGGTTCTAATGCATCTGAACTTGTTAACTACTTGGACTGTGACACTGTTAGCCAGTTGGATGATTCATTTGACATCTTGAGATGGTGGCATGAGCACAAACTGACATATCCAGTGCTGTCCATCATGGCTAAGGATGTTTTAACTGTTCCTGTGTCTACCATATCTTCAGAATCCACTTTTAGCATGACTGGCAGGATCATCGAGGAGCGGCGGAGGAGGCTGAAGCCGGAGACGGTGGAGATGCTCACCTGCATCAAAGACTGGGAGTTGGCGGAGGCAAGGCTGCAACACAATGTGGAGGACAAGGAGCTTGAAGAAGCATTTGAAGAACTCTATCTTGATTAGTGCTTATTGATGCCAAGGTACATCACTAAACCAAAACCTAACACAATGTGGAGGACATCACTAAATCTACATCATTATCCTAATGCTAACTCTGTTCTCTCTGCAGCACAATGTGGAGGACAAGGACAAGGACAACTGGACAAGGACAAGGACAACTAGACAAGTATTCTTGAAGAAGCTTTTGAAGACCTTGGACAATTAGTTTCTCTCTTAGTTATCATTTCTGTAATGGGATTGTAATTTGAAACTTGGACAATGATGTAAGATTAAGAACAATGAACTTATCTGGAGCTTGGTTGTACTCTTTTCCTGCCTAGGGTTTCTCACAAGGGTGAGTTTTACCTAGGTGGGTTTTTAATGAGGCAGCCATTGCACAAGCTCCCTATCTATTACTATTTTCTTAACTCTCTGTGTGTTTAATCTGATTTTGCTTCTCCACTTCAATTTCTGGAGTTGTTGATTTAAAAATGTGCTTGTGAAGTTAAATATGATGCTGCCAAATTGCTTGTGACAGAAAATGTTCATAGTGCCTGGGCTGGCACGGCACTGACGTGCCACCGTGCCTGGAGGCACGGCACGGCACGCTTCAGCCCTGATAGGGCCGTGCCTGGGCTGCTGTCTCAGCATGGTGGCACGTCAGGCACGGCACGGCGGGCCACCGTGCCGCTTAGTGCCGTGCCTTGCCGGGCCGTGCCTGACCGGGCCCGTGCCCGTGCCGGGCCGGACGGCCCGGTTGGCCAACTATAACTTCCGGTTTGCATGGTTATAACTCAGCATAAAGGAAGGTTATGATCTACGTCAATTGTTATTTATTCATCATGCATAATATAATCACATAAAAGCATGGCAATCTATTTGTGTGTTTTTTTTACAAGTCAACCTATTTGTGTTCAAACCGGGTAGCACACAAAACCGTTTTCACTTGTCTGATGGACACTTAGAATAAGAGTATGCTCCTACTCGTCTACGCTAAGGGCTCCTTTGGGTACGCTGATACCCGCGGGGATACCAGCCCCAACCTCGGGGAGAATGAAGCCCGCGATTCTGCTCCACCTTCCAACCCAAGTGCCCCTTTGGATACGATGCAGGGCAAAAAAACACGTGCCTTTTCAGTCCTTCCTCGTCGATCCACGGGTGTCAGAAAAAACGCCTATCACCTCGTGTTTTTCTTTCCATTCTCGTTCTCTCGCGTGGCCTCGGCTGTTCCTCTCTCGCGCGGCTGTACGTTGCCCAAATGGTATAGATAATAATTTTCTTCTGATGGGGTTTCCCTCACCCAGCGGGAGGGGGGTGGCAAGTTCATGGAAGGTAATCCCATTGGGATCAAACCCACGTGCCTTTTCCAACTCTCTATCCAAAGGAGCCCCCAAGAGGGTTGTACTTTGCCACCAACCCCGTACGTGCAAAAATCACTTGCTACCTGATCAAACAGTAAAAGCTCTGGTTCTGCCGTGCCTTCGCACGTTATGTTGCGAGTACAAACGGAAGCAGGGTAAGACAAGATTATTGGCAGCTAAATGCGACACGCTTGAGCCTTGGTTACTTGGTACGCAACAGCTCGCTTCTGCAGATGATTTTGTATGTTATTCCTTATTACCTCCGTATATTTGATAATTAGGCAAAAAGTCAAATAGACCTTGCATTCCAGTTTTGCTCTCTCGTAACTATTTCAGTGTAGTAGTAATTAAGAACGAACTGGCCCGATTTAATCCGTACGTTGTCCGTGAAGGCTAGCGACAAAACTGAAAATTGCCATAAGCCATGACGCTCACACGTGGATGTACGCGTACCGTACGAATGGACGCGAAAATGAAGCTAGCGTACCTGTGGCAGCCGCGGCGAGCGCTGGGC